CCTCGTTCCTCGGCGAGGTTCTTGGCGAGGATCGAGACCGTGGCTCAGAGACCGAGATCGGAAAATGGGCGAGGGCCTCGGTGAGGCCTCGACCACGCTCAATCCTAGTTCTAAGTGTTTATATTGTGTATAAACATTTTCCCCGTTTGTTACTTCCTCGAAATGGTACTTCCTGAATGTTGTAACGCCATTTATTTCATAAAATAAATGGCGATATTTTATGAATCGTCATTTTAATATTATAGCAAGAAGCTCGAAAATCTGACATTGGATGTATTGAACGCATGGAATTTGTTTTAAATGAACTTTTGGCACGGGCTGAAAACGGAAAACTAAAAAATCCATTTTATAGCAATAATGTCGAAAATGGAAATAATGGATGGATACTGCCAGGAGAGGAAAATGCTGGTAATCTAGTTGATTTCATTTAGCTCATGAAACTTTCAAAAAACCAGAAAAAATAAAATACTTTATAAGTAATCACATTTTTTAAGTACCCGGTTCTACACTAAATTACCGTAAAATCTATGGAAATAGAAAGCTCTACTTACCCAGAGTTATAATACACACGCAAATTACCAGACCATGGGTTTTAACACATAGAACCGGGTAATAAAATGTGTGATTGGACGCTTAAACTGGACAAGAGCCAATTGTTCTTTATTAAATTATTTTAGACGTCAATTACAAAAATAGTTGAACTTGACCCATCAAGGTAGCAAATAAGTTTTTTAAATTAATCTTGAAATCTTTGAAAGTCGTGAAAGCTTCTTCACTCATAGTATTGCCTACTCTCTGATAGACTTAAAAAAATCAAAACCGAACTTTTCTGATATTTATGGATCCATAATATCTTTTATAGATACCACGCCATAATAAAACCAACCTTGCCCAATACCTAATGAAAATTATGCTTGATGCTAATTCTATTCGAAACTAGTATCACTTTACTCAAAATAGAAGCTTAAAGCGCTTATCCATTATCCTCTGTTATATACACAGAATTTTTAATGTAGGCGGAAACCTAGTTACATAACAATAGCAAAGCTCGTATGTTAAAGCTAGTTTCATTAAAAAAATTTTTTTAAGTGTTTCTGCATCTCATCATGCATCTGGTGCAAGCTCTTCAACAGGACACAATTATTTGGAAAACCTTCGTTTGGTTTATTTTGGTGTTACCGAACATTTTGGTGAAGTTGATGCTAGCTATTTCAAACACTAAGACTATTTAGCTTAATAATATACGGACAAATCAAAATTTCTAAACAATTTCTTTTCTAAATTAGATTGGCATGATTAAGCGATTAGGAAAATTTCTTAAAATAATATAGATTAGTAGACAAGAAATTGGAATAGGAGGGTTGAATTTATAAAGACCCATATCTCGAAAAATTTGATTATAGTTAAATGAAACAATTGTTTGTGATATCTATCTGTATGATACCTCTATTAGAAGTCGACGCGGGACGGGATCCCGACGGGATTTTCCGGGATCCAGATCCCGAAATCCCGGATTTTTTTGATTTTCGGGATCCGGGATTTTTTTGGGATTTATCCCTCAGGATCCCGTCCCGGCCTCGGTTAAAAAAATCCCGATCGGGATCCCGGAAGTGAAATTTTGCCGACCTCTAACCTCTATAATAGACTCTAAAAAGTATATCTAAAATTATTTATCCGTATATTAATTAAGTGTTTTTATTTATTTTCGGTATTTTTAAATATTTTATTCTGAGTTGATTTAAATTAGAAACTTCGATTTAAAATGAGGGGAAATATTCCGGATTAGCTGAAAAAATATTTTTTTATTCCGTTTTTACTCTACAGTAATGTACTAGTATCATTTTCACATTACCTATACCATTGGGGATGTAGAAAATTTGGATTGATTGTATCAGAGATTTTTGGTTTTCTGCTAACTCCTTACCTATGTCTGCTTTCTAGGGAGAGAATGCAGCTGGGCTATAGCTATTTCTCTCCTTTAGCTAGTGCAAAAGGTTATTAGGCGGCTGGGAGCGAACCAGCATCTTCAGTAGACCGGACTGATGTGTTAGCCATTACACGACGCCACCTACTGCTCAGCCTTAGGAAATTAATAGCTATATGCTTTGCAGTAAGGTTGGCGGATAGTTGGAAATCTTCGGATATCCGGATCCGGATCCGGTATCCGAACCGAAATTTTCGGATATCCGGATCCGGATCCGATATCCGAACCGAAAATTTCGGATATCCGGATCCGGTATCCGAACCGAAAATTTCCGGATATCCGGCCTTTTTTCGGATCCGGATATCCGGATCCGCCAACCTTACTTTGCAGGACTATTAGTTTGGAAAAAATCACTAATTTTTTAAAATTTATGATTTAATTTAAACATCCATTTGCTGAACATTACAAAATAACTCAAAATTAAATCAACTCAGTCTAAATTCTTTTTATGATTTGGGATTTTAAACTCTTACTACTATGTAGTAGTTTATTTAAAAGTATTTATACTAGTGGTGATTTATTCTGATATTAACAAAAAAATTTTGACTAAAAACTGATTTTGTAGTGTAACAAATGAATAGTTGGATAAAAAATATTCAAATTTTTCTTAAATTTTTGAAAATTTAAAGCCTAATTTATGCGATATTGCCTTAATTATTCAACTATTCATTTGTTTTTAGAACCGATAAATTTAAATTGTTCATTTATATTTTAAACTATTATTCTATTCATTTACCGGCTTTTAGTATAAAATTATAGTACATCATGTTTAATTTCAATACATTCAGTAATTCTCGTCATTGCTAAATTTTTAGAAATTTACAAGTGACCCAAACTGGAAAAAAACCCGACGTGACCCAAACTGGAAGAATGTGTCCCAACGTTTAAGAAGGAAAGGGACTACATTCAAACAAAATAATTTTCAATTAAAACCAAGATAAATTTTATCTAACTTTAAATAAAAAATACTTTTACATAACATAAAAAATTATGTCAAACTCGTAAAAATTTCATTTACCGTTTATGCTCTAAAAATTATCAAAACAGTTATTGTTTAAATCTCAGAGAAGGGTAAATTATTTCTGCATATACGGTAAATATTTTTAAATATGTAAAATCTCACTATAAGATATGAATATTTTAGTTTGTCTGGGGAGATATATAATATAAAGTAGTGCTCCTTTATATTGAGTACGATTTATAAGTTCAAGATCATATATTATAGTGATGTAACGACCAAATATTGGCCAAAATATCGCAACAAATAAGCAGCCCAATACTTATCAGAGTGATGTCCACATAAGGATTAAATATCCCTTCACTTAATATTTTGAGGAATATGTTGGACTGCTTGCAAAAATAAATTGCAAAAATTCAAATCGGTAAATGGTATTATTTACATATATACAATGGTTGCCGTTCAGGAAACGCCGTATATCCAGAATCGCTTAATAACGAAACCGCAAACTCTCGCAAAATTTTCCTTTAAGATCAAGGATATCCGGAACAATCATATAATAATACGATGATCAAAAATTTATGGGTAAAGAAATGTTGAATACTTGGAATTCTAATGGTGCTTTCATATGCTATTTGTGGCCCTATCACAAAATAAGGGCGGAATCGTTTTTTTTCATTAAATGTAATGAAAGGAAAAATGGAAAGGAAAAACGAAGACGGACAGACAAAACACGGACGAAGACGGACAGACAAAACACGGACGAAGACGGACAGCAAAACTCGTACGGTGTGTGTGTTTTGTCCGTCCGTGTTTTGTCTGCATTGTCCGTCCGTGTTTTATTTGTCCGTGTCCATCCGTCTCCTTTCTCCTTTCCATTTTTCTCCATTTTTCCTTTCCTTACATTTAACGAAAAAAAACGATTCCGCCCTTATTTTGGGATAGGGCCCTATTTGTCATAATTTTTAGGGTTAAATAAGTAAAGCTGTCTAAAACAACAAATAGGCCGAAAATTTCCTTAACATAATTTTAATTTTTATACTACTAAATATATTTTAAAATTTCGCTATCGAAAAAATTTACCGATCGAAATCTGTATTCAAATTCTAAACAAGTCCATAATTTACATATAGTAATTGCGACTGGGGGCCTGTTGCCTCTTTTTATGGCCCCCTTTTTTGCCCCATTTTTTGAAAAGCCATGTCCCATTTGGTGATTTGTAAATGGCCACCCTTAGTATCAGACTTCTAAAATGTTCTAGTATAGGAAATTACAATCCTAATAAAATTCCAAGCATTCTGGGTATTTACAAGATTTAAACCAGGGCTCTCATTCGTACTTTATTTCAGAGTACAGTACTCTAAAATCGACCTCCGTACTCTCAAAATTGAATTTGTACTTTATTGAGAGTATGTACTTTAAAATCAACATTTTGGATTGAAAATGAAATTGGAGAAGGGATTGGGCAAAAAAGTGAATTTTTTTGTCCTTCGACCTTTGAAATTCTCAAAATTTTCGCCTGCGGCGCAAAAAATCAAATTTTTGGCACCGAAGGTGCCAAAAATTAGGCGCAGAAAAATTTTTACCCCTCCCCCCGAAAAATATCCTGGCTACGGGCCTGGCAGCAGCGAAGCTCGCTTGAGGTTAAGACAGTTAGGGCTTTACTTCTTGTGTCAGCGAATTTTGACATGTCATGCATTGAAATGCACATAATGCTCAGTGGAAACAAGAAATTATTAGAAAAGATTCATTTGGGTAATAATAAAAAGATTCATTTTTCTAATTTAATTTTGAGTGTACTTTAAATTTGGAAATTTTGTCCCTATGTATTCTAAAATCGAGTTTTGCGTACTCTTGATTGGTATTTTGTCGATGAGAGCCCTGATTTAGACATAAAATGACAAATATGTCTGGTAAATAAATGTACAGCTAACGCTTTAGTCGTTATCCGGGACCCGGATTCCGGGTTCAAATAAATTTTTAAAAACTTAAAAAAATAGAAAAAGAGTTCGCAAATTTCGACAAACCGAAGAAAATAAATCATTTTCAAGCTTTCGTTTAGTTGGCTGCTGGAATCTGAAGGGTGAAATTACTGTGTTTCCAAAGTAAAACACAAAGACAAATAGCTGCAATATTTGCCACAATTATCCCAAACTTGAGTATATGTTGCGGACGAGTTGAGCTGACATTCATAGCGCGTTTACGACGAGTTGGTAATTCATTTTTAAAAATGAAATGATCTAAATTATATAAAATTATTTCGCTTATATTTAACTCATTAAATTGAAAAGGCTTTCTCATTTTGTTAAGCTATTGGGTACTTGTGGGTTATCTCATACCAGTTTTTGCGGGCAAATTTATGCGGACACTTTTGTAAAGAATGGTCAGTCTTCCTTTCTTCCTCGGTTTCACCCAATTTGTTCTGTGGCAAATTTCAATGAGTGACATCAACGAGGAAAAGACGAGGAAAAGATTAGTTTTCCTTCCAATGTCACCAAAAATCGAACGGAGTCGAATCATATCTAAATCGTCCGTTGGGACATCTCTGAATTGAGTTTCTCTTTTTTGTCTGTGTTTTATTGAGCGAGAGAGGGAAAAATTGATGATCTGTTCTCATTGAAATTTGCCACAGAACAAATTGGGTGAAACCGAAAAAGAAAGGAAGACTGACCATTCTTTAAAAAATGTCCGCATAAATTTGTCCGCAAAAACTGGTATGAGATAACCCACAAGTACCGCTATTGCAAACCTACGTTTATTCTCTCCTTTAGCAGTCTTGTCATGGATGGATTCGTTATTTGACAGAAAATCATAATTATAAATGAAATACTTCCAAATAAAAAATGCATTTGACATTGTGTCGCGATCAACTTTACCATCTTCAAGAGATTTCACAAGCGTGTTGAGAATATTATTTAAATAATATTCGTTGTTTATCAATTCCTCGTTAACTTTGTATGTCGCAATGTAATCGAAATGTGACATAAATTCATTATAAATTCCTATAGCCATAACTTTAACTTCCGAAAGCTTTTGATTCATATTTCCAACACTTCCTTGAATCATGTCTTTGACATAATTCAGCATTGTTTCGATTTCTAGTTTTTCCTCGTTCATTAAAACCTAGAAATATTTATTAAACATTTTCTGTAGGGCACATCTAGAATACTAAAACTAGAAGTTTGTGCCCCATCTAGAACTTTGTCTCTCCTATTTCATTTTAAAGAATGTATAAATTATTTTTATTGTCCGAAAAATCTATTTTTAAATTATTTTTATAATCCCCAATACCCAAATGTCTACTCCCCAATTGTCCACTCCCCAAATCTCCTGGAGCCGTCCGACTAAGATACTAAAATAGCCACCTACGAGTCTGAGGCTCCTCAAATCCTGCTTAAAAACACATTTCATTTAGCCTCACCAATTTTTAAAGCTTTTAGCTTTACTGCTATATAAGTTTTTTATTTAATTAATGAGACACAATTTAGACATTTTAGAAAATGGATTATAAATAATCTATAGATTATTGAATAAATTATATATTACTTTGTCAAATTCCTCAATTTTTTTCTCAATTTGTTCAACTTTTTTCTCCAATCCAACAAACATTTTGTCCCCAACATTGTCCCCAGCCTTGCCAAAATTTGCAACTCCGACTTTCTTTCGGAGTTTCGGTTTACGTTTACCATGATGGCCATCATGTTTTATCATGATGGCGCCGACAAAAAATAAGGTTAACAACAAAGCAGTTTTTAAGCGCATCGCTTTAAATTAAAATTAATTTAATTTATTTTACAAACTTTAATTAATAACTTTACGAGGTTTATAACATTAAAATGACCAAATTTTATTTTAATTTAAATTTTAAAATGAGGTTATTAATAGAATGAATTAATTGTGGGTGAAGGACTTAGCTTTATATGGAGATTGTGGGAGGTGCGAAGAGTCATGCTTTAGAGCAAGGAAGTGGAGTGTCATATTTTCGAGGGCGGGCGAGGGATATGTATAGGATATTGCTTTCGGAGAGTGTGAGCCAAAATCATTATTGTATGAGCCAAAATCCTTGCTGTTTGAGCCAAAATACTTGCTGTTTGAGCCAAAACAGCAAAACAGCAACGCTCCGTTTAACGATTCCCGAGCCCAATTTTCCTTATTCTAATTTTACCTTATTCTATTGTCACCAATTTTTTGGAATTTTGGTAAATAGCGGAATTTTGGTCACAACAAAGTCAAAAAAGGTATATTGGGCACTTAAATTTATGTCACCAATAGGAATTTTGGTCACCAAACTTAAAAAAAGAATCTTATCCAGTGCTAGGTATGGCTCCGGGAGCTAGATCCGGAGCCCGGCTCCGGAGCCGGAGCTAAGATTTTGAGAACCCCGGATAAAAAAATATTTATTACCCAAATATTTATTTATTTGTCTCTTCACATGTATAATTTAGAGTGTGTGACTTTCTATTTTATAAACAAATGACATGCGAGTAAATCACACGACTCACATGCACTTACATAAAGTGCATTTTCATTATTAGAATTATAAAGTTAGATTTAAAAAAAGAATTTTAATTTAAAAGACGCTTTTCAGCCTTGGGCCCTCTCGACCCCCCTCCCCTCAGAGATACATTAAAGAGCTCCGTAATCCCAATTTTCCTTATTCTAATTTTACCTTATTCTATGGACACCATTTTTTGGAATTTTGGTCACTAGCGGAATTTTGGTCACAAAGTCAAAAAACGGAATATTGGGCACTTAAATTTATGTCACCAATAGGAATTTTGGTCACCAAACTTAAAAAAAGAATCTTATCCAGTGCTAGGTATGGCTCCGGGAGCTAGATCCGGAGCCCGGCTCCGGAGCCGGAGCTAAGATTTTGAGAACCCCGGATAAAAAAATATTTATTACCCAAATATTTATTTATTTGTCTCTTCACATGTATAATTTAGAGTGTGTGACTTTCTATTTTATAAACAAATGACATGCGAGTAAATCACACGACTCACATGCACTTACATAAAGTGCATTTTCATTATTAGAATTATAAAGTTAGATTTAAAAAAAGAATTTTAATTTAAAAGACGCTTTTCAGCCTTGGGCCCTCTCGACCCCCCTCCCCTCAGAGATACATTAAAGAGCTCCGTAATCCCAATTTTCCTTATTCTAATTTTACCTTATTCTATGGACACCATTTTTTGGAATTTTGGTCACTAGCGGAATTTTGGTCACAAAGTCAAAAAACGGAATATTGGGCACTTAAATTTATGTCACCAATAGGAATTTTGGTCACCAAACTTAAAAAAAGAATCTTATCCAGTGCTAGGTATGGCTCCGGGAGCTAGATCCGGAGCCCGGCTCCGGAGCCGGAGCTAAGATTTTGAAAACCTCGGATAAAAAAATATTTATTACCCAAATATTTATTTATTTGTCTCTTCACATGTCTAATTTAGAGTGTGTGACTTTCTATTTTATAGACAAATGACATGCGAGTAAATCACACGACTCACATGCACTTAAATAAAGTCTCTCTTGAACCCCCTACCCCCAGAGATACATTAAAGAACTCCGTAATCCCAATTTTCCTTATTCTAATTTTACCTTATTCTATGGTCACCATTTTTTTGGAATTTTGGTCACTAGCGGAATTTTGGTCACCAAACTAGAAAAACAAATCTTATCTTAAACTGATATCAAAGTCTAATAATAAAAAATAAAGCTAAAATCAAATTTATCTACTTTTAAAATAAAAAAATTATATATCCAAAAAATTACTACAGGAGCAGACCAACATATTAGTCCAATATACCGTCGAACTATAAATTTAAACATTTTTGCCGAAACGTCCCGGTAATGAGCCTCGACTAGCCAAAAATACTAGCTCTTCCATGATTCGATATTTATGGACTAAGTTATATACTCTGAATTAGATTGGGTAGGACTCTTGCCTGGAGTGATAAATAAGCATTAACTGCAATTTAAATTACACCCAACTATTGCCAAGTTTACGAGATTAACAATCCCTCATATCAAAAAATTAATAATTGCTCTAATTTACTGGACTGCATGCACATGCACAAAATAAATGTGAAAAATTTTGACATAAATGTACTAAAACTAAACATATGAAGCATCAGCTGCTATCCATTTCTAAGTCGATATCAGAAGGGAAAATTCCTGAACAGCAAACCCCATACTACAATATTCCGAAAAAGTGTTAAAAATATGTACATAAAGGTAATAAAGAAAAATGTGGTTACTTGGAATCTGCAAAGGTGCTTTTAAAATCATTAAATTTAATATATTTTTAGGATTTAAATGAGAAACACGGAGCAGTCCTAGGATACATAATAATCAGAAGTTTTTTTATAATCGAAATCCGAAATTAATTATGAAAATTAAAATGTCCGTAATTTATATGTAGTTTAATATGTTCCATAAATTAATTTATATTTTCTAGTCTGTAAGATTCCAAGCATTCTAGCTACAAGATTTAAAAAAAGAATGAAAGAGAGCAGTCCTAGGGTAAATAATAATCAATATGCACCTTTGGTAAGAAAACCATCATAAGAAGGACAAAAAATACTATATTCATACATATTTCGATTAGTGTTTCAGGTGGGCAATCACAAGGAGCGCGTTTATGTCGATTTTGTGACTGTTTTTTGTTAAATGAATAGGCATCTATAAAAATAAAAATTAATGGCTCATTTATATTTTAATTAGTCCTCGGCACGTTAAGTACGCAGGTACTACGAAAAGTATCGTAATTAAGTCACTATTACTGGTATAGTATTGATGCGGTAAGATTTTGGATTAATACAAATATGTATTAGTCCTTGAACAAATATTTATTCTAATGATTCTTCCTCTCCTATCATTAGATAATCTGAGGCAACCTTTAGAAGAGAATGGGTGAATACCTTTCTTTTGCTTAATGATTTTGCTATCATGGATCTCCATAATATAGTAGTTCGCTGTGAAATTTAAAATGTTCTATCAACATTTTAAATTTTCTTTTTCATTTTCAAAAACTCTGACTCCTATCTCTACTTTTCCCTTGCGTCTCTTGCGTTATTTCACAATCTTGTAAGCCAAGTAGAACATAGCTCGCTCATTTTCTCTATTTGTCTTATATAAACGGTTACGTGACTTTTGTGCCGAGAACATTTGCGCCGCGACTCTTGCTTTTTTGCGCCGCGACTTACTTTTGCGCCGCGACTTATGTGCCGAGTGACTTTTGCGCCGGGCGACTTTTGCGCCGCCACTATCATTAAAAATATATCAATAACTAGAGTCGGACCTCACTTTAGTAGGGTTGTCGGATAGTTGGAAATCTTCGGATATTTGGATCCGATATCCGAACTGAAAATTTCGGATATCCGGCATTTTTCGGATCCGGATTTTTTTGAACAATGGCGGCGCAAATGTCGCGGCGCATAAGTCGCGGCCATATAAACTAGAGATCGGAATTTTGTTCCGTACCCGTGTCCGGAAATTTGGGAAGTGGACACTTGGGGAGTGGACATTTGGGGAGTGGATAAATGGGGAGTGAGTGGACATTTGGGGAGTGGACATTTGGGGAGTAGCCTAACGATAAATATACAATAGAATATTAAATAGTTTTTCTTGCTTTTGTATTTAAAAAAAATTAGGAATCTCTCGAATGAGCTATTATATGCTTTTTCGAATTTTTGACTCTAAGATCTCACCGTTGGTATTTGACCATTTCGAGCCCTATTCTCGACTCAAACTTGTTCAATCAAGCTAATTTTAGTGTCATTCGACTCAGCTCGAGAGCACTTTCGAATGAGCTGTTACTTGCGTATTGTAATTTTTCATCCCAAAATCGAGCGACTCCCCCCTATGGTTTTTCAATTTTTAACCTATAACTCGGTCCAGAATCATTTCCTGAAATTGGGACTTGGATTTTTTTTTCGAAAATTGGAGTTGACTTAGCTCGCCGAGACGAATCGAATGACATATGTCACGTCCCAAACTTTTACCTCCGGTAAAATTATATCCATTTTTTTAAATACAAAAGCAAGAAAAACTATTTAATATTCTATTGTATTTTTATCGTTAGGCTACTCCCCAAATGTCCACTCACTCCCCATTTATCTACTCCCCAAATGTCCACTCCCCAAGTGTCCACTCCCCAAATCTCCGGGAGCCTCCGTACCGTATAAATAACGTGCCCCATTACTTTTTGGTCAGACTGTATTTTACATTTACTTACGTTTTTTCTTTCCGCTAGTATTCATGTCACTGTTACATTCGGTATTTGATGGAATTTCAAATTTAAAAATGAAATACTCCCAAATAGCGATTGCAGTTGCCATTGTCTCATTATCAACTTCACTACCTTCTTCAACACCCTTCAAAAGATTGTAAAGAATCTGGTTCAAAAATGTTTGGTTGTTCAATTTTTCTTCGTTAATTGTCGTAGCTTCATAATTTAATTTATTTGGCATAAATGTCTCATAAAGTGCTGCAGCCGCATTTTGAACGACCGAGAGCTGTTCACTCATATTTTCAACATTTCCATCAATCAAGCGTTTGACAATGTCCAACATTGTTTTAATGTTTGTTTTTTGCTTTTCATTTAGCTTCTATAAATAATGTATTAAGAATTTTCTGTAGTTCTATCGAGAGATAAAAGTCACTAAGAGTTTTCCAAGTGAAAATAATATTTAAAAGAGAATAAAGTAGAGACTATTTATTTTTTTGCAGGAATCACGCGGAGCATTCAACTTAAAATTATGCTAGTAGCCGATTATACCTAACCCGTAGATTAATTTAAAAATTATATTACATTGCTAACTTCAACAAATTTTTCCTCAATTATTTTAACCTTCTTGGTCAGTTCATCATTATTCATTTTATCATTTTCATTGTTTTTATCAAACTTGCTTGCCTTAACTTTTGGAACCAAAACTCCTCGGGTTGGCGCTTTAACTTTACCAACATGACGAAAGCAATAAATGCCAACGAAAAAAAGGACAAATAACAAAGCAAATTTTAAATGCATCGCTATAATTTAAAGTTAATTAAATTTATTTCACAGCCTTGAATCAAAAACAGTCATACACCTATAACTTTAAGAGATATACGCGCGTTTTACAACACTTAATAAAGTAGAATACTATAGTTAGAAAATTTTAATTTGAATATATTAAATAAAATGATGAATTGGGGAGGGGAGGACAGAGTTTTAAAGGAAGAGAGGAGGAGGGCTTAAAGGCCTGCTAAGCTGAGAAAGGAGGGGCGTGTTTTGGGCTAGCTTTCTTAATTTTTGTACTGCTAATTTTGTACTTTTACATTATGTGGAATCATCTGATTGCCCTTTTATTTTTTAAGATTATTATTCATTTTTAGATTTTTTAAATTTAAATTTTTGTACCTCTAATTTTGTACTAATCTTATTGTCTTTTATCTTTTGATTGCACTTTATTTTTATAAAATATTATTTATTTTTAGGGGATGACCGAAATTTCGTTTGTTTCGTTAAGCACTTTCGTACACTTTTTTCCCTTTTGATTTGTTTCGTAATGAAACAAAAAATTTATTTCGTTTCGAAACGGCCAAAATTTCCAGACTAAACTAAATAAAAATACACCACTTATGACGGAAAGTATTGTTAAAATTATAAAAATTTTTAGCACTTTTCCGTTATCCCTACCCCCATTTTACGGTTTATATGCGTACTGTTTTACGTACAAATGTACTCTCATTGAACAGAAATTTTTACTTAAATTTGCGACTTGAGCACATAAATTTGAATAATTTCCTTCAATACCTATTTCTTTTCTATAACGGAAATTCACGGTTTCTCCTTCGGCCTTGTTCAGCAACAAAGAACCAACAACGGGAAACGCTGTTTCAACATTACGGGAGGTCGTTAAAACATGGAAAAAGGATCTATTAAGATAATTCTTTCCAAATACGTGTGATGTTGTTCCATATGGAAAATGTTGGGCCATAGACGGTCGAAGTTGTTTCAGCCAGGGTTTGTTCAAAATTCAAAACTTCGGAACTTTGAAGGCAGGATATAAGGCTTTGAACCAAGTAAATAGTATTGAAGGGCAATTTAATATTGCTGATGAATTAGATATAGGTCGTCGTAGCTACGAGCTACTAAACGACGAGCAAAGAGAAATAGTAGATAAGATTTTGAATAAAATCTCCAATCCAGATGCGAAAACGGCTTTCTATTTTCTCAGCTGACCAGGTGGATCAGGAAAGACGTTTGTACTTTGTACACTTGTTCCTTTGATAAGAGGAATCAATAAGAAAATTTGCAATATGGCCTTTACTGGGATTGCGTCAACGCTCTTACCAGGAGGTAGAACATTGCATAATAAATTTGGTTTTAATTTAGATATGAGCAATTCTAAACAATTCTAAAATTGGACTAAGCTCTTTGGAAATGTGATTATAGATAATGATTGGAATATGATGGCCAATATGGCTATTGTTGCGCCGAAAACTATCGACGTGAGACATTCGAATAATAGAGTTTTGAATATGCTTCCTGTCAACGAAACTTTGTACAAGAGACAAAGCTGAGAATGAAGAAAGACAAATATTAGACAAGTATTTGGACGTGTATTTGAACTCATTCAGCCCAAATGGGTTTCCATTACATGATTAAGATTAAAGAAATATACCATAGCTAGTTTGATTATTTAAGGATGATTCACCCAGCAGCATTTAAAACGCTTAGGCGGGGGTTAAACGATCTAAAAAGGAAAAAGAGAAAGCATTAGTCGATGCCCCGGTAGCTCAGAGGTAGAACTCCTGCAGATAGTGAGCGAAAGCGCCTAGCTACAACTAGCAGATGGTTGCAGGTTCGAATCCTGCCCGGTGGCTAAACTATTGCAAACTCTTTCTATTAGAAATTTGAACATAGAAAACCAAACTTTATAGTTTTTAACTTTTGACTGAAGATAGAGCAGATCAGACATCACTCTGTGTTGCGATGGAGAGTAACATTTGATTTACATAGGCATCAATTCCCATTGGTGTTAGACTGCAATGACTGTGAAAAGGCCCAAGAGCAGCATTAAAGAGATTAGGAATAGATTTAACCAAAGATGTGTTTAGTCACGGTCAATTGTATGTGGTCCTCTCGAGGGTTAGATCTTAAAATTCGTTAAGAATTAGGTTTTAGACAATAATAACGAAAGAAAAATTAATCTCCGTAGTTGTTGAATTTAACTGTATATTTAAATTTAATAAATACTTGTGTTGATTTTTAATTAATAATTGATTTTAAAATTAAATGAAATCGAATTAGTGACGTCATTCACGCGTCGGACTGTTTTTGTAGGTATTTATTCCGAAGCATTTAGAGGATAGGCATATAGAGGCTCTTTAGTCTATGATTGATGAAACTCTCACTTAACAAATTAAAGTTTGATGGAAGAAGATCAAGTAATTTCAAGTTGAATTTATGAGTTAAACAATTCACATGAATTAATTGTACTTTTATATGTCGTTAACTTTTTACTAAGGTTGCTATAAATTAAATTAGTAATAAATTGAAAATTTCAAGAATCAAAAATAAATTGAAATAAGATTTTAAATAATAAAAGTGCATTTAATAAAATTGATAGTTAAAAAGAATAATTGCAGAAACTAAACTTATTTCATAGGAATTATTTATAGCGTTGAATCGACGTTTCTCTAGTGCTATTCAAATCATTACACATTCTGATTAACTTCAAATCCCCTAAAATTCTATTAAATAGTATACATATAATTTTTAATTTATACCAATCTTCAATTTCTTCTGTTGATATAACAAACATTTTCAAATCTTTACTAACTCCAGTTGCTTTAACACCCTTTTCTAGTTCAAATTTCAACATTTCCTTGTCCAAGGATTCGTCTTTAATTTGAATTCCAACAAGCCATGAAGTGCAAAAATAAATACTGAAATTTAGAAAATTGGTAAAATTTGTTGATGTTAATTACATATAATAAGACTTAAATGGCCTTATATCAAATTCCCCTACTCTGTAGCAACAAGTCATATCCCCTCTTATAATTAATCCCGCCTAATTTAATCACTTATAAATAAATTGTATCCCCACTAGTCAATTATGTAATTGAATTTCTATTTTATTATTATAAAACTTTAAATTGTATTTTGAAATGTAAAATAAATATTAGTGACAGTCTGGTTTTGTTTATGATTATATTTATTTCTTTCGGAAACGAAAGAATAGTTGAGTTAATCCGATTAGCGATGAGTGCGCTGGCCACGCACGAGCATCCCTCTGCCCAGCACACTTCCAACTTTACTATAATAATAATGTATTTTCAGTTTACTGTCCAGAAATATTCTAGGAGTTGGGAGATGAAAGAGTAGAATTATGCGAGCCTTTATCATTTTCATCACACAAAAAGATTTGCCAAAAGAAAAATATGATACAGTTGTATTAAAGCGCAAATTATTTCACTAGAGCTTTTTCAATGGACTTTATCTCCTACACAACAAAACTGTGTTAACAAACTGTTACTAACACATATTTATCGATATCAAAACACAAGAAATTGAAGTTTCTCACCTTTCTGATTGTTCCTCTTCTTCAACATGAAATTGTTGTACATCCGCATTATTAATTTTTGGAAGTTCTGTAGGACAGTCTTCCGTTTTTAAGCCCATATGATATATTTCTATTTGATTAACTTTCTCTATTTGTTCATTTATTTTATCCAAATTCTCCAAAAATCCGCAATGATTAACTTGTCCTTCCTCCTCTTCAGTAATACAGGAAAAGACAAGAAAATTTTCGTACTGAAAATTTTTAAAAATTATTTTACAATAAAATATAATTATAATTCACAGTTTTGATAAATTCTGATCCTTCAGCATTATTTTTCATATAAACCAATTCAATTTCATTTGGTTGGTTTGAAAAAAATTTGACAACATTTTCAAGACCTATAATTAATTTATTTTGAATTAATAAATAAATTTGTCTCCGATGCCACTTTAAAATTTGAGAGGACTTTTGTAGTCCTCTCCTAACACATAGAGGACTTTAGTTGTCCTCTATGCGTGTTAAAAATTTTCAAATGAAATTATGATGGCTCGTTTTTATTTTATGTGGAGATACTTAGGTATTTTATAAAACATCATTGATCATTATAGAATAAATATATTTGGTGTTTATATATTAGCTTTCTGTCAGACTGACATGGATACTGATTTTGGTATCCGTATCCGTATATTTACGGCGGATCCATGTCTGCTTTCTGTTAACTTTTAAAACTAAATAGCAATTTTCAATCCTGAACCCCTATAAAAATATTATTAAACTAAAAATAATTGCCATTTAATAATGCATTCAAAATGATTTGTTGATTTGTTTTTGTTATTTTGCTCGTTAATGAATGTTCGGGATACACTGGAATGTAAACCGTCATATTGCTCTCTTGGTTTCCGTTCTTGTTTTCTTTATTTTGCTTACTTTTAATGCGAAGAGGAACAACCCAATCCCTTAAATAATTTACTAAATCCACTCAATGGAAATTTACCAGGTTGAAAATATTATGAAATAACGTTCAATTAATTCGACAATATTTGCTTCTGGAAATAAAAGAAAAACTTTTGTTAGCATTAAAGAAATGGAAGTTCCATTGAGAAATCCAAACTGACTGTTGTAAATACAATGTGCTATAATTCATAAGATTTATATTTGAATATTCTTGTTGTAAAGCAGCTGGGCTATAGCTATTTCTCTCCTTTGTGCAAAAGGTTTATCGGATGATGTAATATCCATTAGACCGGACTGATGTTTATCCGGACTGGAGTGTTATCCATTACTCCACGCCGCCTACTGATTAGCCTTAGGAAATGAATAGCTACATGCTTTACAAAAGATAATTTTCCAAACCCTTTGCCCAATTTCTCAAAATCATAAATGCTTGATTGAAAATGTTTCGCTCTTTTTCATTTTTATTTATAAATAACTCTTCCAAATATTCATAAGTTTTTAATAAAGAAAGATTATAGAAAATAAAAGCATTTTGTTGTTTTTCCTTGTTATTCCCAATTTTATTTAAATTTTTTGAAATTTTCCTCATAAAAGGTTCGATCCATTTTGTATCATTTTGAGCCTTTCGTTCTTCTTTGTTATAAACTAAAGTGATTACAAATTCTGTTCCACTAATCTCATAATAAATATTTTCATCAGAAATTGGTAAAATTTTGTGCTTTCCATTGAGTGAATGTTTTATTGCAGTCTAAATTTTATTTAAATCAGCAAGCATACGGTTTAAATAAGTCTAGTATCTTTCCCGAACGAATATTAATGTCATAAAATTATTTATTAAATTATTATTTTCTCCTCCCCAATTTTACTCAATAAAAAGTGAGAGGACTTAGGCCAAACTGCCTGTTTTAGTCTTGATTTGGCCAGGTCCTCTTACAGGCCGGTTCATCTATTTTGTATTTTATTTATTTATTTTAAAACTTTTAAAGAGAGAGGTTTTTCTTAATTAATTCCACGGACGCGCTCGGTTATTGGTTTCGCCCAATCAACGGAGCCCAACGTTTATTATATTTTAGTTGAGTTTTATTTCTTTTTATGGCAATTTCGTTTGGAAGAACCTGCTAGAACTTATTTGTCAAACTACAGAATTAAATTCAAACCCGACAGGCAAACTCAAGATTATTTTACCTTGAAAAGATGACAATAAAGAGAGTCGTCTGAACATGTACTATTAAATAAAGTCAAAGATTTGCTGGATTCATCAATAAATAATCCTTTTATTATTTTATACTCAACTTTCCCTGCCCCAATAGCTAAAACAATAGCATGAATATGTCCTCCCTCTTTGTTGAGTGGAGGTGACATAAATAATTGAAAATTTGAAATTTCTTTAATTTGTTTCGACTTCTCATCTTTCCATTTTTCGAAAAGTTCATTGAAAGACTTGATAGGAGTAATATCATTGTGATGAACATTAGAAGATAAATCATGCCAATTTTTATTTAAAGGCCTAAAACCGTCTGGATGAAGATAAACTTGCATATTTCCAGAGTTATCTTAAAATAATATTTTATATTTTAATACATCAAGAAAAACTATAATGGTCTAATATACTCATTTAAGAATTATTTTATGAACGATCCAGTATGAAAAATGAATCGCGATATCTAGAAATGGTTGAGTGTCAAATAATTTTTAATAAAATCGCTCGGGAACGCCCGTCCAGATTGCAAAATTGAAACTCGTTAAGGCTCTGCCTAAACATATATCCTTATCACAAACCTATTTCAACTTGTTCTTTTATTTGTTTAAGCTCTTCAATCCTCTTTTCTATTTTTAATATCCATTCGTTCAAATTTTCATTGTTTTGCAAGTTAAGAATTTCCTTTACAAATTGCCTCTGATTGGCATTTAATACACTCCAATTAATTTTATTGAAATCAACAAAATATTTTGAAATCTTTTCCAAGTACAAATTTTCCTTGATTTTACTTAAGGCCTCTTTATTTAGCTTCCCTTCCGTTACTTTTAATATTTCAATTAAAAAATAATGTAATTCGTTTTCAATTTTTATGTTTAATTTATTATTATATTTTGAAATTAATTTTTCTTTGAATTTTCCCCAATAATTTTCCATTCTTTCAAACTTTTTAAAATTCAGAAAATAAATTTCAAAAACTTTAAAATAATTCTTCTTTAAATTCTCCAAAAATTCAAAACGCTTTCCAATCTCATTTACATAAATTCCAACATCAACAAAGCTTTGAGTAATTGAATTCTTTCCTTTTACAAATTTATTGAAAATATCAAACAAATATTTATCTTCAGTAAAGAGCTTCAATTTAATGTCATGTTCATGATTTTCTATTTTTTCAATGGAAGTTTCAGTTACTTTGCTATCTTTTTCTATTAATATATCTTGTATTATTTCTTCATTATTTTTATCTTCATTATCTCTATCTTTTATTTTAGTTATATTTTGCTTCTTAAAAATTACATTTTATTTTATCATCCCGTCCAGGTTGATATGATAAACTTACATTTTATCATATCCTAAAAACGGTTGTGGGGCTTTCTAAATAAGATTGGAAAGCATATCTTAATTTAAAGAAAAATACTTCCGTTTTTCACTTCATGATCCCCACAACCGTTTTTTCGGACAAAATTAAGAAAAACGATGAAATTTCTGGATTATAATTGCTCGCAAACTAATGGAAATATAACTATAAAATTTAACGCGTTCACATTCTAACCTTCCATTCTACAGTTTTACAAGTCCTTTTTCCCACTCCCGTTTTTGCTGATATATTTTGCACAGCCCTGATTCCGAAAGCGATCCACAAATACTTTAAAAACTATACCTTAATTTTCTTTTCTAATTTAGTCCCTTCATTTTTAGTTTTCTTTTGGTTTACTGTAGCCTTTACTTCCTTATTTTTCTTCTCCTTTTTTGATACTCGTTCTGATTCTTTGCTTTGCTTCATTTTAGAGTTCCCTTTTTTCAATAAATTTATTAATTTTTCAGCATTCTCTAGATTAACAAAATTTTGTAAAGTTCTAATTAACAAGTCCAGACCATTCTCGGCACTAAGTGCTAAAAGTTGTATTTTTAACTTTACATAGACTTTTAAAATTAAAGTTTTGTGTATGTACTTGCAGAAAGAATATTCCTAATAGAGCTCGAGCTGGAACTAGACCAAGGTCTGGGTTTTTCCTGTACCCAGGGTCCAAGTCCAGGCATTTTTTGACCTTCTAGGTTTTTCCTGGGCAAGGGTTTTTCTGGCCTACAGGCCCGGGATCCAGTCCAGGTCAAGAAATCAAAGTCCAGGAACAGGTCCAGGATTTTCAAAAATTCAAAAATCTCGATCTTTAATTCCTAAGCAATTCAATTTGAAAATTTTTCCAGGTTTTTGCACTTTTAGTTGTGTTTAAGTCTAGGCTCATCCCATTATTTTTCTATTCCATCTCCTAATCTAATAATTTTTCATCAGCATAAAAATAATAAAATAAATTAGCCAAAATTAAAAAAATCTCTTAAACTTGAAAAGATATCTCAATTTTTGTTGACGCTTATTTGGAAATTGCAATATGTTAAGGACAAAAATTATCAAATTTTAGTTTTTTAAAATTATCAAAAATTCTAACTCATTGAGAGGTGTCCAAAAAGTTTTTTGTTTCCTTTATCACTTATTAATCGTTGCATTGTTTTGTAATGTTCAACATTAAGCAAATTCTTAAAGTGCTCGGAATTTTCTTTTTTATTAGAATAATCTGTATTATCTATTTTATTCCATTTGCTATCTAATTCATTAAAGTAATCATATTGCTAAAAATTATTAAAAATTATCTTAACTGTAATATTTTCTTAAATCCTATATCCGCAATTACTTATCCTAAATTGCATAACCGCAATGCCTACAAGAAGGTAGATACTCGTTGATGAAAATACCGTATTTTCTTTTACAGAGCTGTCTATCCCAATAGAGCGGTCCTATGGAAAGCTGTGATTTCAAAGTTTTAACTATACAGTAAGAGCAAGGTAAAAGTTTAATCCCAGGCAGGCTTTGATCCTGCGACCTCCTGGCAGTTATTGGCTAGGCGCTTTCGCTCACCTGGGGCCTATTTCAATTGTCCACAGATTCTGCATTCTGTGCACAGAACACAGATTCTGTGGAAATTCTGTTTCAATTAAATTCTGTGTGCACAGAATCTGTGGTGCCCGCAGATTCTGCGGAAACATCCAATGATTCTGTGGAAACATTCCGCAGATTCTGTGGATGAAAATTTCTGTGGAAAATATAAAAATCTGTGGATTTTTTCCACTGATCCACAGAATTTGTATTTCAATTATTTTTCTGTGGTTCTGTGTATTTTTTCTTCTAAATTCAAATTTTTTATTTCCGCGTTTTTGAAAATAACAGTTTTATTGAAACGAAAAATGGTTTGGACAGTTCGGTACTACCGCAGTATTAATGGTACCTGATTTTTTGAAGTAAAACTTTAAAAATTCTTAAATTAAACTGAAAAATATTGTAAAGATTTAAAAATTTTCCCTCCAAATCACATAACATCCCTTTAAATCTCTTTGATATCACTTTAAAACCGCTGATATACCGCTTAATTTTCTTGTTCATCCAATATCCTTAAATCTCCAATTAAATTAATGTCCTAAAGCAGGGTTCGGATCGGAAAAATCAGGAGATGTCGATCCGACATGTGGCTTTTTCAAACTACGATAGAAGTTGTTGCAAGGGAGGGAAATGTTACAAAACTGGGGATTGTTTAGTCAGAAATTGAGGTTCCTGGAAATCGAAAATGCCTGGAATCCAAAATTATAGTCAAATCGGAACTTTAAAATCGTAGAGGAGTGATTAAGTGGGATATCCATTGATTTTGAGGTTTAATATATTGGAGTGATTAAGGAGGAAATCTATCATTAAATAGGAGGAGAGATTATGACGGATATCAATGAGAGATCATGGGAGATATCCCAGTATACGCTATACAGATATCTTCTATAGATCCTGGTAAACATCCCCTCATTAGAGATATCCATGATGATTAGAACATCATAGCTCTAAATTTCAGAATCTCTCACGTTTTTTATTTTTTTATTGCTTGAATATAACAAAAACTGCGTAAAAAAGATGTACCTTTTTCAAAATTAATTTTAAGCAATAATTTTAGGTAATAAAATTATAATTTTTATATCAAAAAATAGAGAATGATTCAAACTTTAATAATCTTTAAAAATTTTGAAATTTGGTTAAGCCTAGGCCTAGAAAAAAATTGTTAAAGTTTTTCCACAGAAAGTTCGCAGAAAAAATTTTAGGGTGGATTTTTTAAAGAATTCTGTGTATTTTCCGCAGACCACAGAAATAATTGAAACAGAAATGCACAGAATCGACTAAAAAAGCCACAGATCTGTGGATTTTTTTCTGTGCACAGAAAAATAATTGAAATAGAATTCTGTGGTTTTTGCATGTTTTTGGATGTTTTGCAGAATCTGTGGATGTTTCCACAGATTCTGTGCATGTTTCCACAGAATCTGCGGACTTCTTTTTCCGCAGAATCTGTGGAATAATTGAAACAGAATTTCTGTGGTTCTGTGGTCTGTGCACAGAACGCAGACCGCAGAATCTGTGGACAATTGAAATAGGGCCCTGGACAGATGCTCTACCGAGCTACCGGGACTCTGCTTTCACCTTCTCTTTTAATAGATATTAAACCGCCTCCTAGTGAGCGTTTTAAATGCTAGCCAGCTGGATCTTTCTCTTCCTTACAATACTAATAGAACGGGTTTCTTTAATCGAGATGCTGTCTCAAATATAGCGGCTATATGAGGCATAAAAAAATGGAAAAACGGACCTCTTTATTATCATCCGCCTGGCTTGATTCATTAATTAACATATTTATCCTCTCCATTCTACCTAATAACCTATTACTTTCTTTTTGATGCTCAGACTTGTTTATAATGAACAATTTTACAAAGCGTGAATATAAAACAAGATATTCCAATTGCCATTTTATTTTAAATGCTTCCTTTTTATCTTTATTTTTCCAATTAATCAGTTTAATATAATTTTCCACCCATCTATACCAAACTATAAAATCTGCTATAATCCGATATATATGTTCGTATGGTTCATATTCTGATACTATAGCCTTTATGTAGTGATCGCCTAATTGTACATCGTCGAGAAAGACTAAATTAATGTATTATATTTATTTTTTAAAATCAAAAATATCCAATAAACTCAAGTCTATTATAGTTTCAATAAGTTAGGCTTTAAAACCATGCCTAAACTATAAAAATTGGGGTGGAGTTATATGTATGTAGTTATGAAGCAGAGCTTATTTTTAAGCGCTTTTAGGTTCACTATCGACGGAGTCAAATATCGTGAATTCAATAAATCTTAAATTGTAAAGCATATAGCTATTAATTTCCCAAGGCTATGCAGTAGACGGCGCGGTGTAATGGCTAACACATCAGTCCGGCCTACTGAAGATGCTGGTTCGCTCCCAGCCCCCGAATAACCTTTTGCACTAGCTAAAGGAAAGAAATAGCTATAGCCCAGCTGCTTTACTAAATCTCCGTTCGAGAATTACAATGTAAGAAAAATTTAATGAAGCATACCTTTATCGTCCATTAATTTCCATTTTCTCAAATACTCCTCTAATCCTTTATCAGCTACTAGAATTATAAAGAAATAATGTGTTCCTATATTTGACCTTAATTCTTCTAAAGCTCGCTTATCTTCAGTAAATTTTTTGTCTAAAAAATTTCTATGATCCTTAGCAAGATATGTTCTAATATTGCCATACTTAACCTCATAAAATTTTTGATCAATTTGACCATTATCTAAGCGTTGGATAATATTAACGAATCTAGAATTAATTTCTTTAATCAGTTGTTTAAGCCATTTTTTGGATTTTTCTTTAAAATTGGAGATTTTACTAGAAAACACTTCCACAACTGAATATAAAATAAAAACAGAATACTCAATATCGTCTTCAAAATTATTATAAGCCTCATCTTTCACTTGAACGAAAACATTTTTAGTTTCTTCATATCCTCCTGATCCTTCAGTAATTCCAGCATCCTCTAAATTTTTTAGACAAATATTTTCAAATATTTCTAGTCTTGAGAGTAAGAGCGAAACGTTCAGCCTATGCTCAGCTCTGCTATAATATTTCTCTTTATCAAATTCGTGCATATCCACATTGAAAATATCCATTCTCAATAATTTTC